AGTGACACTGTAAGCTGCAAAAAGCCGGTGGAGAGTGCTTCTGATCAGTAGGGAAGTTTGGCCAAGCAGCTATGATGAACAGGGAGCAGACAAAGAACACTGAGAATGCAAGATGGGGTGCAAAGGTGGGGAGCACTGGCTGCTCTTCCAGAAGTCCTGAGTTCAATGCCCAACAACCACAATGGCTCACAACCATTTATCTATAATGTGATCTGGTGCCTTCTTCTGGCATGTAAGCATACATACATGCATGTATACACTATACACATAATAAATAATTTTTAAGTAGAATGCAAGATGGAGATGACTAAGTGAATTAAGCCAGTCTCAGAAAAATGTTTTCTCTCATACGTTGTTTCTTAGATTTTATGTAGATACATAAAACGATTCACACACACACACACACACACACACACACACACACACACACACACACACACACACACACTAACCATAACATGAAATCTGAAGCAAATTTGTCTAGGAGAACAAAGGGAACTAAGAGAGGAGAAGGGAGTGAGTGAAAGAGACGCTATGAGGGAGAATCGCTCAATATATACTTCTACGAAAAGTCCTTACATATCAAAATAACATGTCCGATAAACATACATAAGGAAAAGCTTTTGAAAAGTGCAAGAAGGTGACTGTATTGACCTTGGAATTCCGTTTGGATAAAGAAGAGGGAAGACACCATAAGAGGGAGGGGGAAGCTGGAAGATACAAAGGCTGGCAGATAAAAGAGATTCTGGATTTGGGGGTCTAGAAGTAATGAGCTCAAGGAATAGGTGGAAGAATTGCTTGAGGAGCTGGAGAGACGGTTTAGAGGTTAAGAGTGATAACGGCTCTTGCAGAAGACTGAAATTCAGTTCTCAGCACCCATACTTGACAACTCACAATTGCCTGTAAATATAGCCCTTGGGAAGGGATTTGACACCCTTTTCTAGCTTGGGTACTTACACATACACACACGTGTGTGTGTGTGTGTGTGTGTGTGTGTGTGTGTGTGTGTGTGTGCACGCGCGCGCACGCGCGTGCGTGTATGACTAAGTGAATTAAGTCAGTCTCACAAAAATGTTTTCTCTCATATGTTGTTTCTTAGATTTTATGTAGATACATGAAACAATTTACATATATACATACACACACACTAAAAAAATCCTCATTTTAAAAATGTTTGAAATTGATGACTATTATTGAGGGCAATCAAAAATCCAGCCTGAGGTACAGGGAAGGACCAGATTACTCTGGAGCTCAGGCCCACAAAGGCCATGAGGCAAGAAGGGTGGACGCTATGTATAGAATGTCACCAAGAATCCCTGGCAAGGGGACAGTGACCTGCACATTGATGTCCTTGGGAAGGAGGGCTGGTGTGGGCTCTCAGTGGGAAGGGGTGAGTGGGAAATCTGACAGCACGAGGCCAGAGCAAAGGAGTGGAGGTGTCGGGCGCATGCAGGAGCAAATGCTCTTCCCCACCTGTCCTGGCTACTTTTATAGCAACTGGCCAGAGTCATCTGAGAGGAGGGAATCCCAGTTGAGAAAATCCCTTCATAAGATCAGGCTGTAGACAAGCCTGGAGAGCATTTTCTTAATCAGAGATCCATGTGGGAAGGTCCAGCCCATTGTGGGAGGTACCACCCCTGGGTTCTGTAAGAAAGCAGACTGAGGAACAAGCCAGTAAACAGCACCCTTCATGCCCTCTGCATCAGCTCCTGCCTCCAGGTTCCTGCCCTGCTTGAGTTCCTGTCCTGATTTCCTTCAATGATAAATAGCAATATGGAAGCATTAGCCAAAAAACTCTTTCCTCCCCAAGTTGCTTTGGTCATGGTGTTTCATCACACAACAGTAACCCTAAGACACCATCCCTCACCAGCCCAAAGGCACATTTCATTTCTGTCCATCATCAGCCTCCAGCACAGCTTGGCAAAGGCTACATCTGATGCAAATGCATTATCTAACATGATGGCAAAAAGAAAAATATCACCAATTCCATAAAAATATTTGTCAGATTTTTGTAGGCTGACTACAAATATAAAAGAAAAGGGGTGGGGCGGGGCTGGAGAGATGGCTCAGTAGTTAAGAGCACTGGCTGCTTTTCCAGAGGACCTGGGCTCAATTCTCAGCACCCACATGACAGCATATAACTGCCTGTAATTCTGGTTTCAGGGGATCCAACAACTTCATACAGACATACACACAGGCAAAACATGAATGCATATGGAATAAACATAATAAAAAGAAATCATAAAAAAGAAAAGGGAAAGGGGGGTAAAGGTATCAAGGGAAGTAAGAGGTGGAATTGCAATGCAAACAGGAATTCTAAACCTTTGGAGATATGGAAACAGGCCAGGAGCCAAGGAACATAGCCCCCCTCTAGAAGCTGGAGACAGTCAGGAAGCATTTCTCCCTACCACGGCCTGAGGAAGCTGCACTGCCCACACCTGGAGCCTAGCCTCGTCACACCTAGTTCTGGCACCTGACTTCCAGAACTGGAGAAGCAGCTGTGTGCTGGTAGAGCTTTGCCAGGGCAGAAATTGTGCAGGAACAAAAAAGACCAGTGTTCAAGGTCAACCCCTATAAAAGCCAGTGCACAGGCCCCACCAGATGTGCTCAATACAGTGAGGAAACCAGCTTCCACTAGTTGAATGCCGCATATCTGTGTGGCCTGCAGCTTCAGCATCAGGCCACACAGGTGGGAGAGAAGAGGACACCCCGCAGGCTGCAGCAGAGATGGGGGGGCGGGGCACTACCAGGTACCTCCAACCTTCTGATATTGTCATCTGCGGAGTTCGATGGAGAAAGGTAAAACCAAGTTTCTTTGTTTGTTTGTTGTTTTTAAATCAGGCAAACAAAAAATCAAAATGTTTTCAGTTTACAATTTTGCATCGGGTCCCAACAGAGCTAGCCCAGGCCACATGTGGTATGTGCATGAGGGCTGGGCCCCTCTCCATCTAGTCCTGCTTGGGACCTCTCCTATGTTTCTGGGCCCTTTCCCCATTTCCTTCTCTCCCTTTGAGAATCAATAAAGAATCCTCAGCTTCCATTCTCTTTCTTTTAAAAACATGTTATTTTTCATCTTGTTTATTCGTGTGTTTGTGTGTAGGTATGTGTGGTAGTGGTGGCGGGGTATGTTAGTGCCTGGTGGCAGTCAACTCTCCTTCCACCATGTGGGGCCTGAGGACAGAAGTCATCTGCTCAGCAAATGCCTTTACTTGCTGACCTCTGGCTGGTCCTTGTCCTCTGGGTTCTGAGCTAAGCTTTTCTTATTATGGATAAAAAGGCTCTGGCCCATCTTAGGCTTTAGACACATCGCATTCCATGCCTCACTTCAATCGCTGTGAAGCTGGAAATTCACTTTGTTGTTGAGACAGGGTCTCACTATGTAGCCCTGGCTGACTTGGAACTTGCAATGTAGACGGGGCTGGCCTCAAACTCACCGAGATTTCATCTGCCTCTGTCTCCCAAGTGCTGATATTACAGGTGTGCACCACTAAACCCAGCCTGGAAATTCCCAGTTTTAGCGGTGACCTCCCCCCAACCCCTTCCCCCCAGCCACTGTTATTTTGAGGTCCAGTGCTCAATTGTTTCAGGAGATGGTGTCTGCTCTTCTCTCTGAAGGGGCCTGGCTGGAAGTTCCAGAAGCTACAAGGGTATGGGCTCTATGTACCCCAAGAAGAGTCCTCAAGAGCGGCCTTTCCAGACCCACTTCCTGGTAAAGATCCCCATGTTTGTTAGCTGCGGATGAAGGTACACACCGAAGACCTCTTCCCCATTGGCTGCAGCTGATACCTTGAGCTCCAGACCCTGCCCTTAAGAATCGCACAGATTGCCTTTTCCTTTGTAGAAACCCTCCTGTATCCAGATACCCAGCTGCCTGGACCCAATCCTCCCCACCTGGTGACCCCTCCCCATCCCATGGTCACTCAGATGGAGAGGGGCTCTTGGGAATGTAATGGACTCTGGGCAAGAAGAAAGCCAGAGCGAGAAGGGCTCCGCACAGCACCATTCACAGGCACCGGGCACTCGCTGTACCCTCTCTTACGGCAGGTGGTGACGTTTGTCTCCCTGTGACTTGCATTGCCCTTGGTGCCCTCTCCAGCTCCTGTCTAACTCACGGGGACAGGGGTGCACACTTGCCCCTCCCAGCACACCCTCCTCCTGCTCGTTTTGATCACAGATTGGGCGTCACCAAGCGCTGATGGGAGTCACTTCCTCCCACCCACTGCGGAGCAGAGGCAGGCTAATGGCAGGGATGGAGAGCAGAGAAGGTCCTCTTAAAAAAGCAGTGGCCTCCGGACCCCGATGCCCCTCAACCCCACAGTGGACCTCCGCCCTTCTTCCTCTTGAAGGTGGGTTTGGTCAGGCAGAGAGAGTTTCTGGTGGTTGAAGGTGGAGCTGGGAGCTACCATGGATCCTTCCTTTGGCTCACAGGACTCGGTGCCCATCAGAATGGGAAGCCCTGCTGAGCCTGACCCCCCTGGGAAACAGTGGAATTCTGAAGGCACCCCCGATTAAATGTGGCTGCCCAGGAGCTGAAGCCCTGCTCTGGTGGACACAGCCTGTGGGCTCAGTGGAGTCTTATTCTTCTCCTCCAGGCCAGGGCTGTGTCTCTTTGAAAGGGGTCTGGGGTCCACTACTCCATGGCCATGAGGTCCAGGCCCCCATTCACTTCTGGAGGGGTGACTAAGGAGCAGAGAGCAGGAAACTGGCAGGCTTGTGAGAAGGGGGTGCTGTAGTGTGACGCAGCCATGGGTCCAGCCTTAACTCTACCTAGATGTCTGAGACACAGGGCCCTGTGTCCTGAAGCTGCACAGGCCAGGGAAGGGATCTAGGGGTAAGGGGATGTTCCTTATTGATTTTCCAATTGAGGAATCACAAGGTCCTTGCCTCTGGGGAGAGGGGGCCAAAACCATCATGTCAGTTTTTCCCCCTGTGCTGAGGTTTGAACCTGGGTCTGTGCCTACGCTACACAAACTACTCAATCACTGAGCTATACCCCCAGCTTGCTTTTCACTTTTTATTTTGAGACAGGAACTTGCTAAGTTGGCCCAGCTAGCCATAAAGCCACTGTAGCCCAGGCAGTCTTTGAGCTTGTGTTCCTCCTGTGCAGCCTCTTGAGCGGCCAGGATTACAGGCTGCCTGGCCCCATCGCTTTTCAGCCAACAGCCTGCCCCTGTTCACCCCGTGCTGCTGCTCGGGATCCTCTAGAGCATCGTGAAATAGCAGACTTCTGTGTAGATCCCAGAGTCGTGTCCACACTGGAGCTGAGACAGCAGAAGGATGGCTGAGGCCAGCCTCACTCACACAGATCATGCTCTTCATCAACGTTGCTGGGCCGTCACATCGCGCAGGCGTGGGAGGCGCCGGGAAGGACCCATTTGTGAACAGAGATCCTTGCATTTCGCAGGCAGGTGGGTGGCCCAAGTTTGACTATGAGGAGATGGGAGTCAAGCAATTCTCTTCACATCTTGGTTTCTGTAACACCCCACAGGTTCTTTCCTGAGGGAGTCTGGGAACACAGAGTGAGCTGGCTCACTCCCATCTCATGCCCACGGTGGTCTAGCCTGGGCCAGAACGGGAGGACCCGGGTACATGAAGATGTACAGAACTTGGTGCCAATCCCCCAGGGAAGGCCGTAGACCTTCGAGGCCTTCACAGTCTCCTCAGAATCCTCCTGGATTTGACTCCATGCCAAGAGGCCTCTCTCCTCCAGGGTGCCTGAGAAGTGGACAGTGAGAAGTCAAGGCAACCCCCTGCTTTTCCTCGGCCCCCCCTCCAAGCCTTGGCAGGAACCACGGATCCCCTATGCTCGTTAGACAATCTCAGAGCCCCTACCCATGTGGTGCCCAGCCTCGGACTCAACCATGGAACCTCAGGGCGCCCTCGGCACACAAGAGCAGACCTGGCCATGTGTGCTTGTGGCCTGCAGGCACACTTATGTTTGGAGCACAATGTGGAAAACAGTGCATGAAGCAGGCACAGTCACAGAAATCCTTAGGAAGACTGGGGGGGGGGCACAGAAGAGAAAGGGGTGTGGATGCCTCCCCAGAAGCCACAGTGATGGGATCTCTATGCTCCTCACTGTCAGCCTCCCCAGTGCCTGCACCCTCAGTGAGCTCAACCCAGGCCTCACTATCACCCACTTGCTTGCCTGTCTGTGTTAGCTTGTCTTCCTATCTCTGCTGTTAGCCTGTGCATTTGTGGAAGGCAGAGTCACGCCTCACTTCTCTTTGTGTTGGTAGTGAGTGCCACCTGCTACATACATAGTGGATAGTTAGATAGACGAATTGGTGAATGCATGAATATTTTTGTGGTTTTCCCCGCCAATAATTATAGGTTTAAGAGAGCCACTACCATCCCCTTTTCCTTTTGCACCTGGTGTATTGTCCATTTGAGGGCCATGCCATGCCTGGACTGTATCCCTTGAAGAGCCATACAGGGATAGCCTAATCCTGGGGGTGTCAGTACTTGTCAGTAATGTTTGAAGAGGTAAAGAAGTTACAAGGGGCCTGCTGTGAAAGGCTCCCGTCTGCCTGTGCTTGCGTGGGGCTCACTGTACAGCTGAGGATGACCTCTGGATCCTCCTGTCTCCACCTCCCCAGCACTGGGGTTTTGGTGTGCATCACAGCTTATGCATTAGTGTAGATGGAAGCTAGGACTGTGCATCTGGACAAGCCTCTACCACTAAGCTATGCTGTCCCACCCAGCCCCTGTCTTCTTTATACAAAAGGAGATTGTGACACACAGAGAGACCACGGAACTGTGCCAGCACACAGCAAAGGCACCGTGAGGACACCCTCGGGCAGCCAAGAAGAAAGGTCCTATAGGGAGGCAACCTGCCTCAGAGTTCCATCCTGGGGGACTCCTTATTCGACTGTGTCATTTCGCTAACCCTATTCTGTGATTTGTTTTTGTTTTTGTTTTTTTTTGTTTTGTTTTTTGAGACAGGGTTTCTCTGTGTAGCTTTGGAGGCTGTCCTGGCACTCGCTCTGGAGACCAGGCTGGCCTTGAACTCACAGAGATCTGCCTGCCTCTACCTCCCGAGCACTGGGATTAAAGGTGTGCGCCACCAATACCTGGCCTGAGATGTTTTTAAGCAGCAGCTCAAGCTGACTAATGTAGGCCGTGCCTTATCCTGACTCCAGAGCCAGAGCCCATTTGGGGCGTGCTACAAGCAGCCTGACAGGAGGTCTCCAGTGGCCCCATCATTGCCCAGATGGCCACAAGCCCAGATTCAGGTGGCTGCAGTCTTACCAGGGATGGTGTTGTCCAAGACAAAGCCCAGAAATCCACCAACAAACATGCCTGTGGTCAGGAGCACCTGGATGACCTGGTCCAGCTGGAGAACCCCTGGAACGAGACAAAAATGACTATTAGCAGGGACCTAGGGGCACCCTGCTTCATGCTCGTCGCAGTGAGAGTCAAGGAAAGACAGGACTCACCTGTCTGCAACTTCTCAGGGTTCTCGTTCACCCAGTTGGGGATGGCGAGCCCACAGTAGATGGAGAAGCCAAACACAAAGAGGTTCCTGGATGAATTCATGTCCACATACTGTAGGAGAAAGGGTTCCCAAGTTCAGCGGGGCCACAGACGTCTTTACACGTGTGCATTGTGGCTGATTTGGGAGGTTGGGATGCTGTGGACTGTTTCTTTCTTGTGTTTGGGGTTCAGTGTGTCTCCTAGGACCACGGGCACCTTCCTCTCCCTCCTCCATCTCCCCCTTTGCCCTCCTGACTCATCTTCCCCTCTCCTCCCTCTCCTCTCTCGTCTCCCACGCAGTTCCATCCCATGGGCTCCTCCCAGGATGGGTGATACTGTTGTTCACTGAGATGCCTCACCTGCAGGTTGGAGATCCCCACAGCGCTGATGACCCCGAACATGACAAGGAACATGCCTCCAATCACCGGGGTAGGGATGGTGGCAAATGCCGCCCCAATCTTCCCAAACATGCCCATCAGAAGCAGCACACAGCCTGCAGTGACGATCACCATCCTGCTCCCGACCTGCATACCCAGAGAAAAGGGATAGGAGTGCCAGGCCAGGCACGGGAAACCTGCTCCTTCATCCTTCACACTGCTGAAATGAGCCTGCAGAAGTGGCGCCATGTATGCTAAAAACTGCCCCGCCCCCATGCTGGCACCCTGATCTAGGGAGAGATGATGGAGGAGCTTGGGTCCTGGCTTCAGCCCTCATCTCCCTGCCCACTCACACCTGTTGGGCACATTACTGACCTCTCTGAAACCAGCCTCCACGTTACTACGTGAGATCAGGGATAGCACACAATTCAGATGACAACACATGTGAATATTGGAATAATATGCGTCCAGCCCTTGGAGTGCTCAACAGAGGGGGGCCGGCAGGGGACAGAGGCGTAAGGCTCTTGAGCAGCGTGTGCACCTCTAAGTGTTGCTCGGGCTCTATTAGGAACGAATGTTTCACTTCTCTACCACACCACATACTCCCCGGAAGACAAGAATCTCATCAAAACCTCCACACCTACTCCTTGCTCCCGGCACTATGCAGATACCCAGGGCCAGGGGCACTGATCGCAAAGGACAGGGCAGGAAGAAAAGACAGAGGGTGCCTTGTACACGCCTCTCATTCTGTAAAAGAGCAAACTAAAGAGAGGCACCTCAGAGTCATTGGGTTTTACCCACAGCACTGCACACCCACGGGTGTCTAGGTGTTTGATTTACCACATGTCCACCCCTAGAGCATGTCATCCGGCGCTCTGTAGATGGAGCATCTATCTCTCAGCAGGAGGGGCAAGTGACAAACAGGAACCTCACGAAGGGAACGGGCAACAACCAACAGCAGCCCAGGGAGGACAGTGGGCCCTGAGGGAGGCTCTGTGGCCGTTGGCTAGTCTGGCCAGTGGGGACAATTCAACCAATATACCAGGAGAGAAGGGAAGAGAGCCAATTGATTCTAGAGGGAAAGTGGTGTATTGAGCCCTATGGTGGGAAAAGCCTCCGTTGTTAGAAAGCACAAGGAAAATCATTGTGCCTGGGCTGTAGTGGGGGGAACCCAGAGTGAGGGGTGGGTTCCATCCTTCAGGGCCCTGGGGGCAGGGAGAGGCAGAAACAAAACATGGCACAGCCGTACAATGAGGTATTACTCGGTCCCCAAGGGGGCTACTTCTGACACCTGCTGCGTGTGTGAGTGAGCCTTGTGGTGATCTGAGTGACAAATGCCCCATGGGCTCACACATTTAAACAGTTCCCTGTTGGTAGTGCAGTCTGGAGAGGTGACGGAACATTAGGAACATTGCTGGATATGGGGTGAGATTCGAGGGTTTATAGCCTTGCTGGTCTTCCTGAGCCTATTTGCTCTCTCTCCTCCTCCCTCCCTCCCTCCCTCCCTCTCTCTCTCCCTCCCTCCCTTCCTCCCTCTCTCCCTCCCCTGTGAATGGTTACAGTGTGATCAGCCAGTTTCTTGCCCCTGCCTCCATGCCATGCCTTCCTGGTCATGAGGGCACTGTCCCTCTGGGACCATAGGTTAAAATAAGCCCCTTCTTCCTTAAGTGGCTTTTGGTCACAGCAGTGGGAAAGTGGCTGATGGAAGCCTTGAGGGCACTGTGCTAGGAGACACAAAAAGTCAGATAATATGTCTCCATCCACACCAAGTCTCTGGGGTCCTCAGATCCATGGAGGCAAGGCAGGGAAGGTTGCCAGGGGCTGGGGAAAGGAGGAGGAGGAGGAGCAGGAAAGGGGGGAAGAGAAGAGAAACAGGGAGGAGTAGAGAGGGTGAGGAAGGGACCTCGGTGAGGAGCTGGGGGCCCTCCAGGATGGGAGAAAGATGGACAGTGCCAAGGGTCACACAATAATGTCAGTGTGCTCAATGCCCTAGCAAGGGAGGCAGACTCGAAGGCTGAGGCAGGTCTAGGTAATGTAATGAAATCCATTATCAAAACAACGGAGGGGGATAATGTCAAAGCATACTGTATATGCATGAAATTGTATATAATAAACTAATTAAAATATACATTTAAAAACCTACCACACTAACCATTTAGAAATGGTTATAATGGTAAGTTTCATGTTAATGTATATTTATTACAGTAAAAATAAAAACGAGAGAAAGCTTTTCTCCCTTCCCGTGATTCACATTCTAACGGCTTCCTCCAGGAGAGACATTTCATTATAATTACTCAGCAGATTTCCTCAACAGGCAATTGTTAATATGATGAACTTGAACTTCTCCTTTGCCTATGTGGAGATTCACTTAACATCCGAAACTCATCTCACTCACCACCTGCTGTTTCTATCCAGAATCTTAAAAGAGATCCCCTAGTTCAGAGGTTCTCAACCTTCCTAACGCTGTGACCCTTTAATACAATTCCTCATGTTGTGGTGACCCCCAACCATAAAACTGTTGCTACTTCATAACTGTAACTTTGCTACTATTATGAACCATAATACAAATATCTGTGTTTTCTGATGCTCTTAAGTGATCCCTGTGAAAGGGTCATTTGTCCCCCTAGAGGGGTTGTGATGCACAGGCTGAGAACCACTGCCCTAGTTCATTTAAATAGAGGGCTGATTATTGCCATGGAACCTGCTTCATAATACACACACAGGCATACACACACACACACACACACACACACACACATACACACACACACTCCCTCTCTTCCCCTCTCCCTCCTTCTCCCTCCCCCTCTCTTCCCATCTCTCCCTTTCCCTCTCTGTCTAATTTTTTAAAGGATACCACCATGCAGTCCCACTGTGTGAGATGGAAGAGGCTAGAGTTCTGGTGTGGTGTAACAGTATGACTATAGTAAACTAACCTTCCAAATAGTTGGGATGGTGAGTTTCTGTTTTGTGCTTTTCCCACAGTCAGAAAAAAAAAAGTATTTTTAAAAGATATTTTAGTGTCAACTAAAGTTCACTGCTACGGCCAGCAATGAAGAGATCACGAACTTGCTCATTTTTCTCTTTCTAGACCAAGAGTCCTCAGAAATGCTTTGTTCTGTTTAACACCTTAGCAGTTGACTGTGTGTGACTGCAGGTACAAAGGTGGCTGGCTCTTCAGGACCAGCCTGTGGTGCCAAAGGTCTCCCGGAAGGGGGCAGTCATCCCAAGGTCAGCATCATGGGAGCCTATCATGGAGACCTAGGTCTCCTCCTTTGGCCTCAGAACTGACATGTAGGCACGTAACTGTGACATCCAAGAGAAGTGACCGGTGTTCTGTGGCACACACACACACACACACATACACACACACACACACACACACACACACACACACACACACAAACACGGAGTATGCACTGTTGTAATGCCTGAAAAGGCCACAGGGGGGAGTGTGAGCCCATAAAAACCAAGTGGTCTTTGCACCTCTCTCTCAGGGTTAATCTAACCTCCCACTTGAGTCACAGCTTGCCCTGTGCCTGTCGGTCTTTAACTTCCAGCTTTCTTCATTTCCCCTAAAAGGCCTCAGCTGAGAAACTATGTCCACAGAAATTTGTTTTGTTTATGGAATGTAATTTTCTGTTCTTCATGGGACTTGCTTCCTTTAATGGGAAGTAAATTGTTGCTGCTTCGAACATATACAGCCCTCTGCTACATTTCCAGTGCACTCACGGCCTTGACCAAGGGCCCTAAAAGCCTTGGGAGAGTATCAAAGGCTGCAGAGTGTCCAGAGAGCCAGGAGCTGCTGTGGAGGTGACTCAGGCGGGGATTTGGTTGTGGATTTCAGCTCCACCAGTGGCAGAGGGTCACTGGGGGCTGGCTGCGGGGTGGGGTAGAAGGTATAGTGCCTTCAGGCTACACACTGTGGCCACTGAGGGAGCCATAGATAATGCAAATTGGGATGCTGCAGGTGGATGACCTTATAATTTTCCCAAGCTCACAAAACTCATGCTGGAAACAAAAGATACACTGAAATTCAGAGGGCAGTATGATGCTATTGTTTCAACATCATTTAGAAACACCACCCTGAAAATTCTGTACTGGGCTCCCTAGTAAGAAGAGGGCCTTGAAGCAGAGAGAGACTGGTCAAATTGGGTCATAGAAAATAGGCAGACAAATCATGCATGAAGTAGAGATGAGCAAGACCTGGGAAGAGAGGATGCAAGGTCCCACTGTGCAGGGACAGTCACTGTGTGGTACCAAGAAGGGAGCAAAGGGGGCATTCACGGAGCCATGTGGAGAAAATAGAACCCAGGGGAAAGTTTAAGGACAGTGAGACGTTAGGAGTGGCAGAATGATTCGCTTAGACAGGGACTGCAGAAAAATGGAACACGTGTGCGTGTCAGGGGTCTCTGGGTGTCAGGGGCCCTGGGGACCTGGGTTGGGTGTGGCTAGGAGCAGCTGAATATTCAGGGCTGGGCTACAGGCAATGACTGTCCACCACAACCAAAGCAGACCAAGTGTTGGTACTGAGGTCATGACCGCTGCAGAGATAGCCATACCCTAGGCCATGAGTATGTAGCCTTGCCATGCTTGGCTAATGGACTTTGCAGAGGTGCCTGGGCTGCGGATGGTGAGCTATGGAGGGTCTCCTGGTGGTCCATCATAACTTCTTGAGTATCTATAAGCAGACAGCTTTTCACATCTGGGACCGGGGAAGACGGAAGAAGGGGCTACAGCCTATGGACAGGGTATCCTGTAGAAAAGGCCTCCCAAGAGGAGTGTTTCTCGGTCCACACCTCTGCTCTGGCCATATAGGGTCCCTATGTTGTTTCTGACTGCCCAATCAGCAGGGTGACATTTGTCATAACCACACAGGAAACTCATTTGCAGGGGCCCAGCCCCACCCCAGGAGCCTCCTTCAACAGCCTTACCCTGGTGATGCCCAACGCCCCGACGTTCTCGCTGTAGGAGGTGGTACCATTCCCGGTCCCCCAGGCCCCTGCCAGTAAGCAGCCAAGGCCCTCGATGCCAATGCCACGGTTGATGGCGTGTTTCGGAGGGGGTGGGGCCCCAACGAGCCGAGCACAGGCATGATAGTCACCCACCGATTCCACCATGGAGGAGATCACTCCAGCAATGATCCCAAAGACTCCAGCCAGGCTGATGGTGGGGAGCCCCCACTGTCCTGCAGAGGTAACCCAAGGGACTGTCTGGGCAGAGGAAGCTGCTAGACCCCAAGCCGTTTCTTTGCCAGAGGTTTCGGCAGCTCCAGCCCTCCCTTCCACCCTGAGGGTTAGGCAGACGTTCAGAGGTGGACAGACATCGTGGAGCACAGAGTGGTAGAAATGGTGCCTCCTTCAAAGAAAGCCTTGGAACTGTTGGAAGCTGAAAGTCTCTACTACAGAGACATTGTTATATCCAAGAACCAGGCAGGCCACCCTTCAACCCTGGCTACTTCTGTACTCTTCAAGGTGAGACCTGAGTGGTCTCAACGAAGCTCTAATCTCTTCCAAAATATTCTAACTCAGTCCTAAACCTGTTTTGTTTGAGATCCACTGAACCTATCAGGAGACCCACTGATCTGGCTGAAAGTCGGGCCTCCCTCTCATCTTCCCTCACACACCCCAGGACTCAGGGCTCATGGGTAACATGGGGGAGGGTGGGAGGCTTAGGCTGGCTCTGAGAAAGCTCTTAGAATAAGGATTCTAGTCCACTGCTCCCAAGGGCTTTTTAGCACAGCTTTTTAGCACAGCCTGGGCTTAGCGTCTAAATCCCCAGCTTCTCCGGAGGCTGAGGCAGGAGGACCATAAGCTGGAGTCTTGCCTGCACTCCTGAGTGAATTCAAGGTCAGTCTGAGCAACTTTTCTGTCTCAAAAAAAAAAAAAAAAAAAAAAAAAAAAAAAAAAGAGTAGAAAAGGGGCTGAGGCTATGTGACAGCGATGCAGCCATTTGTGGAGAAAGCATGACATCTGGGCTCAGCCCGCGCTAACACACGTGTCCACTTAGAGCAATCTAGAGACTCCCTCCTCACCCTTCTCTCAGGGGCCAGACACGGTGTCCCCGGAGCCCATCTCCCCTGACAGTCCCTCCAGTCCCTCCAGTCCCTCCCCAACCCTTTGCAACCCTCCATCCAGTATCCTGAGTCCCAGACAGTCCCAGGAAACGTGTGTCCCAAACAATAAGGACACCCATTCCTCCTCACCTGGGTAAGGGAAGCGAAACCAAGGGGCCTGGCTCAGCACGCTCCCTTTGGTGTCTGTGCGGGCCAAATATCCATATGCTGTGGGGGACTTGGGGAGGGTGTTGGTGACAGTGAGAACGAAGCAGAAGAGCCATGAAAGGCAGAGGGCCAGCAGCACCTGCAGAAGAGAGAGCTGCCTGTCACATTCTGCCAGCCTCACCCCTTCTTCTCTCTTCTCTCTCTCTGTGTGTGTGTGTGTGTGTGTGTGTGTGTGTGTGTGTGCGTGCGGTGTGGGTGCCCTGAGACCGGGGTGTGCCAGGTTACTGAGCCTCCCACTGACAACAGGAATCTGCTGTCCATGGGTAAATTAACACAAGCTGGAAAGAGAGGCAGAAAATTCACTATGGAAAGAGACCTTGGGCAGAGTGGGACAGAAATATCCACATTGGGCAACGCCTGTGGCAAAAGGGTCACAATCTGGCTCTCACACCATGTGCCGTAGAATTAGACCCACTCCTCTCACAGAGCCCAGAATGTGGGGGAATCCCAGAACACTTAGTGGCTGCTCCCGTTTGGGAGACTGTTGACTGAAGAGGAACGGTGCAATAGGAGGCTGTTGCTTCTGGGAGCCAGAGAGAAACCTGTGTGCAAGCTCTGGAAAAGGAGATACCCATGTGTCACTAGAGGTGAGCCTGTCACTCCCAGTACTTGGCTATGGGGACAGCCAGGAGCTAAGGCTGGCTGGCTGTCCCCTACAGGTGCTCAGAGTAGGGACCTGAGATGGTATGCCACCAACCACTAGGAGGCGACACACACACACACACACACACACACACACACACACACACCCCTCAGCCTCCTAGGAAGAGCTCTCCAGAGGTGAGAGAGCATTGGTTTTGGAGTTAGCCAGGCATAGGGAGGTTGTCCTATGTGAGCCAACCAAGAGTGAAAAGAGAGCTAGGGGCAGCTCTTACAGGGAAGACCTGGAACAGGTTGAATTTGGAGATGTGGCACTTCTTCTCTCTTCCATAAACGGGCACAGGCACCATGACGTTCTTGAGGTACTGAGAAAAGAGCACGATGAGAAAGATGGTCCTGAAACAGAAACAAATGACCACGCCTACTTGTGGGCTGGATTCTTCCTCGTGGGGGCAGGGTGCCCATTCCAGGCTCTAGGAACGGGCCAGGAAGCTGAGCCATTCCGCTTGTCAGTGGGAGGTTCAATAACCTGGCACACTCGGTCTCAAACACACCCACACACACACACACACACACACACACACACACACACACACACACACACACACAGTGGCATCTGAAGCCTTACTGGGTCCCTGTAGGCAGTACAGGCAGAGTCCTGCCATCCCTGAAGAGGGGTCAAGCCCTCTTGGGAGATGAAATGAGCCGCTGGCAGCAGGATCAAGCCAGCCATTAGAGCCACTGAGGCACAGTCAGAGATGCCTCTCCGGCACTTCTGCACATCTGCTGCCCTCACGCCTCCCTCAGACCACAATGGGCTCAGTGAGTGAGAATGCCACTCCTAAGCTCCAGGGTAAATGCTGGAGGCATCGTTCCCCCTGTATTGAGCCTCCTTGGCGGTCACCACCTCCCCATAAACCCCCAGCCCAGCACACACACAGCACCCTCTTGATTCATGGCCGTCTCCCAGAATTGCAGGTTCTTGGATCTCAGTCTTCTCTCCTTGACTGACACCCTTGTGAGCTGGGGCCACTCTTTGTACCCTTTTCAGCTCGATGACATCCTAGCTGGCAAGGGACCAGAGAGTCAAGTTTTCATAAACACTACCTGTGCTTATACACTGCTGTGATAAACTGGTTCTGTGAGAATCGATAAGATTAAAATATCTAACAGTCATAATAAATTCTAAGTATCAATGATGATGCCCACGGAAGTATGTATAAGCATTGAGAGTGTGCCAATATCCTGGATTCCCCAAGTTGTCTGGGGGGTAATCTTCCACCAAACGGGGCGATGAGATGGTCTACCTTTCTCAGAGGCTACTTACAGGGCAGAAATCCCCCAGTGGATCCCAGCGTCATTGCCGGCAGACTCAAAGAGAGGCAGGGCCACCAGGGCAATGGTTGGAGCGATGGTCAAGGGGCCGATGTATCGCATGAGAAAGCCAATGAGGCCCGAGAAACCCACCAGCATCTGGACACAGGAAGCCACCATGACAGCACCCTGCAACTGGAGGGAAGGCGTGGGCCTCAGTGGGGACCAGGCCATTGGCCAGCCTGATCACACCTTGGGGTGTGCTTTCCCAGGCTGTGCAGAGGCCAAACCGGAACCCAATGGAATGTAAGGGGAGGAAGCGGTGGCCTGGCATTTCCATTTAAGTGCCACTTTCAAGAGCTAGGTTTCACAGCGACTTGTGGACTGCAGTCATAGTGGGGAGGAAGACCAGCCACCAGAGCAGCAGGGTACTCAGCATCTTGCGCCTTTGCTTTTCTGAGTTCCCTCAGAATTTCATTTCCAGGCAAAGAAAATGGAATTTCATGTAATTTGATGTCTCCGGGTATCTTACTCCTCCTCTTCCTATGTTTCTAAAACCACTCAGCTCATGGGCTGTTGGACAATTAATTAACTAACGGGCTGGATTTGGTTCTGTGCTGCCTGATCTACTGGATTGAGTGAGTCTGTTTCTCCCTTTTTGCTTTAACAGTGCAGATGGTATCTCTTCTCTTTAAAAATATTATATGTTACTTTGAGACAGGAACTCACATGGTCCAGGCTAACCTTGAGTTCACTATGTCGTTAAGGATGACTTTGACCTTGTGATTCTCCTGGCCCCACCTCCAGAGTGCTGGCATTACATCTGGTTTATGGGCTGCGGAGGATCACATCCAGGTTGTGGTGAATTCGAAAGTGAACCAACTATGGTGCATCTCAATCCCCTCTATTCATCATTCCAAATTTACCGTTAACCTTTTCAGTGTGCACACATTGCTGTTGTGGCTTACATATGAAAATACCATGTAGGCTCTTGTGTTTCAACCGGATCCCATGGTTCTCTCTCTAGTTTCCCTGCAACCACTTCTTTTTTTGTTTTGTTTTGTTTTGTTTTGTTTTGTTTTGTTTTGTTGTTTTTCGAGACAGAAAGAAACAGGATCTGTTCCCTTTTCTTTGACAGAACCTTCCATCTCCGTGTGTCAGCTTTTCCTGCGGATGTTTTCATCTGTGCCTGCACCTGTGCTGTGCAGTCAGCCTGCTGACCACCTCTGTCTTCCACCACTGGAGCAGATGCTCAGTAGACACGGGAGATCCATCCCATCCCAAGAGTAAATTAAACAACCAAGCACTGATCAACGGCTGCAGAGAGGTGGGCACAAAACACCTTACTCTGTCATCCAGCACTCTGGACTACCTGGGCCAGCAGAAGGGGCTGGTGCTGTAGCAGAACTGGCTTTGTGATTCACTGTGCTGCCAGGGAAATGGACAGGCCACCTTAGCCCTGGGCCACCAGAACCCCGTCCTAGGCCCTGTGTTGTACACTAGGAGTCTGGCCAAGAAGAAAATGTTTAGATCGTGAGTGCCATGTGTGGTCTCTGTCTCATATTTTTTTTTTCAGTCAACCTTTTTGAAATAGAAAAGTCATTCTTAGCCCATGGCACTAGAAGAATGGGCCACTGAGGATGGAGAGGTGGCTCAATGGTTAGGAACACTCGCTGCTCTTGTAGAGGACCCAGGTTTGGTTCCCAGCATCTACAACCACCTTTAACTCCAGTTCCAGGGATCTGAGGCCCTCTCCTGGCCTAAGGCTCACTGCACACATGTGGTATGGATATAAACATGAAGGCAAACATAGATACAAACATACATGCATGTCTGTACGTATATCAGGCCATAGATGGGATTTGGTCCGAGACTCACATTTTGCTGACTCCTGCTTTAGAGCTCCCTGCGTGTCGCAAACACAAAAATAAATAGTCGATTCAGCAAAGAAAATAGGAATGTCACTGGGATGCTGCCTCCTGGGAGCATGCCCAGTGTTCTCAAGAAGACCTGTGTTCTGTCGCCATGCTCTCCATCCAGGCAGTTCCAGATTCTCTCCTGCCCATCACTCTGCTCTCTTTTCATTTGCTTACTGGAGTGTTTCTCTCGCTCCCTCCCACCATCCACACACACACACACACACACACACACACACACACACAGGTGTGTGTGCCCAGCTGGACTGCCAGCTTCCTGAGAACAGGACTATTGTCTGACTTATCCATGTCAGTGGATTAAGTAAAACATCTTTCCTACAGGGAGTTGGATGATGACTGTTGAGCAAGACTCAGCAGCCCGCTCCCCCCCACCACCCTGTTACCTCTCGGATCCTCTTCTGCCACTCTTCAATGAATTCAGGAGAGCTGGTGTTCACCAGGCTGGCATTGAGAGTCCACTCTGGACATTTCCAGGCAGGGAGAGAGAGCATGGCCAGAGAGGGTGCCACAAAAGCAAAGGTCCCTCCTTGGAGAATCGGCAGCCTGAAGGAGGGGAAGGATGGAGTTACCACCAAGGTCCTGTCACAAAGTCATGTTGCAAGCCCCAAAGGGCCTTTTGAGCCCAACTCCTAGCTCAGTGGTAACACACAGCCCCTGCTCCTTTAGTTGCAAGGAGCTCTTCTGAGTTCCAAGGAGAGGTCGTGAAGCCCGTGCAACGTTGGACAAGTAGCAGCTGTGGGCAGAGAAGACACTCGGAGGGGACCAGGTGTGATACCAGGAGGAGGGGCCAGGTGTGATACCAGGAGGAGGGGAACAGGTGTGATATCAGGAGGAGGGGCCAGGTGTGATATCAGGAGGAGGGGCCAGGTGTGATACCAGGAAGAGGGACCAGGAGGAAGGGACCAGGTGTGATAGCAGGAGGAGGGGCCAGGTGTGATAGCAGGAGGAGGGACCAGGTGTGATACCAGGAGGAGGGGCCAGGTGTGATACCAGGAAGAGGGACCAGGAGGAAGGGACCAGGTGTGATAGCAGGAGGAGGGGCCAGGTGTGATAGCAGGAGGAGGGACCAGGTGTGATACCAGGAGGAGGGGACCAGGTGTGATACCACGAGGAGGGGACCAGGTGTGATACCACGAGGAGGGGACCAGGTGTGATACCACGAGGAGGGGACCAGGTGTGATACCACGAGGAGGGGACCAGGTGTGATACCACGAGGAGGGGACCAGGTGTGATACCACGAGGAGGGGACCAGGTGTGATACCACGAGGAGGGGACCAGGTGTGATACCACGAGGAGGGGACCAGGTGTGATACCACGAGGAGGGGACCAGGTGTGATACCACGAGGAGGGGACCAGGTGTGATACCACGAGGAGGGGACCAGGTGTGATACCAGGAAGAGGGACCAGGTGTGATACCAGGAGGAAGGGACCAGGTGTGATATCAGGAAGAGGGACCAGGTGTGATACCAGGAGGAAGGGACCAGGTGTGATATCAGGAAGAGGGACCAGGTGTGATACCAGGAGGAAGGGACCAGGTGTGATATCAGGAAGAGGGACCAGGTGTGATACCAGGAGGAAGGGACCAGGTGTGATATCAGGAGGAGGGGCCAGGTGTGATACCACGAGGAGGGGACCAGGTGTGATACCAGGAGGAGGGGCCAGGTGTGATACCAGGAGGAGGGACCAGGCTCTGAAGCACTGTGTGAAACCAGCATGGGATTCGGAGAACACAGGAAGCTACCACCCTCCACCCTAGGTCCAGTGCATCTCCGCCGACCCCAGCAGAGTTCACACCACGCAGTTCTCCATCTCACGTCCCCAGCAACTTATTTCCACACAGGCGAGAGTTGTGCAGCCTCAAAACCGGGTTTGCTGGATCCCCTTGTGTTCCTATGAACCAAGGGCACCCTTAGGCCCCTGCCCTTGGGTTCCTTATCACAACAGGGTTGAGGTGTCGTCTCCAAACCCGGCTGACTCCTGGAAAGCTTCTCTTCCCTCTGACATCTAGCAGTGCTTACCCAGCTTACACAGAAGCCATGCAGTAAGGGGCCTCTGCCACCTTGTTCACTCACAGGCCAGGGTTAACTTCCGCTTCAGAATCTCTGGACATTAGGATTTGGGGGCCCAGAGGGCTCCCCTAACTTGAATGCAGCTGTCACTGTAACCCGCTGAATCTGGGCACTTTTGTGGGGACGGGCACAGATGTGGGGGTGCATACATGTCTGTGTATGTGGAGGCCAGACCGCTAGCCAGAGTGTAGTTCCTTAGGCACTATCTACCTGTCTCTGTCTTCTTGGCTCTGGATCACTGCAGCTGCTTTTTATTGTTGTTTATGTGGGTTCTGGAACTCAAACTCGGTTTCTTTACTCTTGCAAAGCAAACAGACCCACTATAGCTCTTCTTCTTTGGGCAGGGCCAACATGCAGCTAAAGTTTAGAATAAAAGAAATCCAGCCAAGAAGTTCCAAAGGAAAATAGGTGGTATGGTACAGAGAGGGTTGAAACACATGGAGGGTGTTTCACGTGAATGCAGGTGTATGACTGTCTTCACTTTAGAACCCTAAAGCCGAGCATCGGGACAGAAAGGGGACAGCATGGCGCACATTGTTGCGGGGAGGGTAAGCACTGAGTACACGACACAAGGTCACTATTCCACACGTCTGATTCATTCATCAACTGCTTACTGAGGACTGGCCATGTGGCAGGCTTAAGGGTCAGAGCTGTGATGGAGAGGCAACACCCGCTTGTACAGTCATCCACCCTTATCCATGGTTTTGTTTTCCACAGTCTTAATTACACACGGTCACGTGTCCTCTGAAAGCATTACTATTTATCTCAAGTCTTTCAAAAAGGAGTTCATTGCCATGATAAGGTATTATAATTATTGTCATAATTCTGTTTTAGTATTGGACAGCATGTTAATCACCTACTGTGTCTATTTATAAAGCAAACTCCACCACTGGTACACATGTATAGGAAAGAACACAGCACTACAGGGTTCAATATTAAGTGCAGTTCCAAGTGTCCACTGCAGGTTTCAGAGCGAGAGGAGCCTGCTCTACTCTTGCTGCTATTTCTGTGTGTGTGTGTCCCTGGCCCCACAGAGTGACGATTCACAAGAATTTGCCCCCTCTGATCCCTACAAATACTCTAATTACACTTACAAACAACCCACCATGGGAGTGGGTCCCTGGGTCCTGACCATGTCATTATCACCAGGACCCAGGAGAGCAGGAGTCCCTCCAGTGCAGAAACTGCCACGGCTAATAACCTGCAGACACTTTAAAAGTGGTGTTGGTTTCTTCTAATTTTATAGGTGTTCAATAAAGCTTTCACAAATATCCATTGGGCATTTCATTATGCCATTGAAGACGTGCCTTTGTCCGTGTGATTTTATGGCCATTTTTACTACTTATAAATTCATTATAGAATTCTGTTATTGCCAAAATCCAACTCTAACGATTCTTGCCTCAGGATGGTGAATTTATTTTCTTACATTTGTTTGTATGCACCCATGTGTGTGGTGACCAGGTAACAACTGTCTAAGTAAACTCTCTCCTTCTACCATGTGGGTCCTGGAGATCAAACTCAGGTCTTCAGGCTTGGTGGGTGTCAGGGGGCGACAGGTGGGTAAGTGCCTTTACCCACTGAAACATTTTTCTGGCCTTTATTTTCATTTCTAAAAAAGTGTCTTCTGGGCTGAAAAGATAGTTCAGTGGTGACAGGTGCCTGCTGTTCTTACAGAGGATATGCAGGTAGGGTGGCTCACACTGCATATAGTGTCTGTCCATTTACTCTGAGGGCAGTGCTGCTGTTTGTGGACTAACTTCTGATAGGTTTCTCTCTGTGTGAGGGCATCAGGTCCCCTGGAACTGGAGTTACAGACAGTTGTGACCGCCATGTGGGTGCTGGGAAGTGAACCCAGGTCCTCTCCAAGAACAGCCAGTGCCCTTAACCACTGAGCCATCTTTCCAGCCCAAAAATAAATATTTTAAAGAATGGAGGATATTTAAGATCCCATTCTTTCCTTACCTGAATTTGAATAAAAACTTGTCTCTGTAACAGATAATAGAAGCTTAGCTTCCACCCCTCAAAAGGCTAGTTAACCTGTCTCACGGCTAAATGAACATATGTTCTAATCTTTGCATGGCGGGGAGGAAACCCTCTCCCTGGGTTGCCCAAACTATAAATAAATTAAATTTCCTCTATCAATTTCTGTTCCCTAGTTCCTTTGGAATACAGGAAGCTAAGATGATACAGGTTTGCAAGTATCCTGCCATACTCACCCTGGTATCCACCATGCCAGAGGCAATAACACAGGGCTCACCATGGTATCCACCATGCCAGAGGCATGAACACAGGGCTCACCATGGTATCCACCATGCCAGAGGCATGAACACAGGGCTCACCATGGTATCCACCATGCCAGAGGCATGAACACAGGGCTCACCACAGTATCTACCATGCTAGAGACATGAATATATATGTGCTTCAGTTCTCAGGGGCTCTTCCTCATTCTAACCTGAAATTCATGTAGCTGAGGATGACCTTGAACTACTGATCCCTGCCTGCCTCTACTTCTGAAGTGTTAAAGAGTTACAGGTGTGCACCTAGGGATTGAACCCAGGGCTCCCAGAACGCTATGCAAACACTTTACCCGCTGAGTTACATTCCCAGCCCCTACTCTTCTTCAAGGGCCACATCCTCTGTGTTCCAAGCAAAGCCAACTGAGACTTTCTCTTGCTACAACGTTCCTCAAAGTATCACAGTGTTATGCTTACAACCAAGCCTGCAATTATCTACTCATACATTTGATTTCCTTTTTTAAAAAAATGTGTGTATGTATGTGTGCCCGTGAGAATACATGTGTGCCCTTGTGAGTCCATGTGTGCCCTTGTGAGTCCATGAGTGCCCTTGTGAGTCCATGAGTGCCCTTGTGAGTCCATGAGTGGCCGTGTGAGTCCATGTGTGCCCGTGTGAGTCCATGTGTGCCCTTGTGAGTCCATGTGTGCCCGTGTGAGTCCATGAGTGCCCGTGTGAGTCCATGTGTGCCCGTGTGAGTCCATGTGTGTCCGTGAGAGTCCATGTGTGCCCGTGAGAGTCCATGTGTGCCCGTGTGAGTCCATGAGTGCCCTTGTAAGTCCGTGTGCCCTTGTGAGTCCATGAGTGCCCGTGTGAGTACATGAGTGCCTGTGTGAGTCCAAGTGTGCCCGTGTGAGTCCATGTGTGTCCGTGAGAGTCCATGTGTGCCCGTGAGAGTCCATGTGTGCCCGTGTGAGTACATGAGCACAGCACCCATGGAGGCCAGAAAAGGTTGTCAGGTGTCCTAGAACTGGAGTTACAGGCAACAGTGACTTGACTGACATGCTGGGAACTGAACTCAGGATCTCTGCAAAAACAGTATTCATTCTTAACTGCCGAGTCATCTCTCCAACCCCAGACTCCTCTTTTGAGACCCTCATCTCCTTGAGAGGAAGAATCACAAATAAGTCCCGGCACTTACTGATGGCAGGCAGACATGAGGCAAAGGGCTAAAGACAATTA